ACGAGTTTGGGGGCGAGAATCCCACAGAACCCATGTAGAGCTCGTGAATGAAGTGAGGGTGTGAGTGAGCCTGGATGAAATGGTCCGGACGTGTATCGTCAAATGACAGTCTCTCAATACCCTCATCATCTATACTAATAGCTTGCACGGCCCATCCCTAAATATGCCTTGCGTTTAGCCTTGATATTCGACTGGAAGACTTCATTTCTGACGTAGAGTCATTAAGGTTCCTCGATGGACATGATGCAGTTTTTACCAAGATTTCTCAAGCTGTTACTTCTATGGCTTTTCCTGGGCCCGTTACATGGAACATTCGCCTATCCTTATCATCATGATCGTTCGGAAGACCATGAAGGCGTGGGACTTTCCAATCAGACGCATCCTTTCGCGGAATTCGGTTACAGTCCCGTCAAATCCAGAGCGGACAAGCCAGAGCTCAGAATCCTGCCGTTGGGCGCCTCCATCGTCTTTGGAGTCGGCTCAAGCACAGGCAATGGGTGAGTGATGTCAGGAAAGACTGAATACAAGGAGTATGAATCGCTGATGTGAGGGCCCCAGCTTTCGGAAGCCTCTCCGTGATGCCCTCCGATACGACGGCTTTGAAGTCAACATGGTCGGCACCAGACACAATGGTGACATGCAAGACTGGGTATGACATTGAGCAGCACTATTTATTTACTCAAAACGCTGACCAGAGTAGGATAATGAAGCAACTTCGGGTGCCATTGTCAGTGAGATCCGCTCATACCTGAAAGGGTCTCTCGCCTACAAGCCCAATGTCGTTGTCATCAATGGTGGCACGAACGACTGTAACAGAAACATCGACATGAACAACATTGGCGAGCGCATGAGACTGATTCTCAACGACATTTGGGGCGCACCTGACATGGCAAATACATGGTAACCCATTTGAACGCCCATCATCGATCAAAGACTAATCTGAGTAGCGTAATGCTTTCTACCATTCTTCCCACAGCTGATGCAACCGGAGCCCTCAATCGCATCACTGCCAATCAGCAGTACAGACTCCTTAATGAACAGCTTGCTGCTTCTGGAAAGTGCATCTACATGGCCGATATGGACCCTGACGAACCCAACATTGCTCACAATTGGATTGCTTTGGGAGCGGATATCGGAGGTGATGGAATCCATCCAAAGTACGAAACAGAACCCCGCCCCCCAATCTTATCGTCAACAGCTGCTGATAATAAGCTAGCGACCAAGGCCACAAGAAGATGGCCTCTGTGTTTTATGATGCAATCATGAAAGCTGTCTCGGATGATAAGATCAAGAACCCCGCCGCAATGGCGAAAACTGGCACCACCGGCTGCGATAAGACGTTCGGCAACGGCGTCTTTGCTGGTGGACTAACACAGCGGGGATCTGGCTGGGACGACGGGACGTACAAGCATGCCAGTGAGTATGGCGGGCTGCTCTTCTCTGTCACGAGCGATTGGGACCGTGATCAATGGCGCTTTGCACGTTTGTTCACCCGCGACCGAGACGACCTGCTGGGTTGGTTCGAGAAGAGCGCAGGAGTTCACGCGTATGGTGTGTGGAAGAATAATGGGAACGGCAAGTTTGACAAGGTCGCGGACTTGGACCCAGATCTGTTTTGCAACCCGCGTGGTGTTCGGTTCATTGACATGAACGGTGAGCCTTTCCGATTTGTTCCGTGTTATGGCCTTACTGACATGTGCATAGCTGACGGACTCGATGACTTGGTTTGCGTTGACCCTGATGGCAACTTGTATCTGTCAATCAACCAGGGTGATGGATCTGCCAGCAAGCCGCCAACCTTCAAGAGAGTCAGCACTACCGCGAAAATCAAGGATACTGAAGGCTTCAAGCAGGACCGTATCATCCTGGCTGACATTGATGGAGACGGTCGAGGTGACTACTGCCACCTGGATGATGGGTAAGTGCTTGTTTAAACTGAGTATGAACGCTTTACTGATGACCTGTTGCAGAGGCAACGTTTGGTGCTGGCGTAATGGCTGGGTCGACGACATCCCGGAGTACTGGCAAGCTCTGGGCTTGAGGTTCACTGCCAAGGGTATGGGTGACGTTCACGGCGTCCGCTTCGAGGATATCAATGGCGACGGTAGAGACGACTGGCTCTGGGTTGACAACGATGGTGTCACATATACCTGGACCAGTGCTCGAAGCTGTGCTTCAGGCAAACTCGGTGACGGTCTGAATGTTGCATGGCGCCAGGGTTTCAAAGGCGATGCTACGAGCGGGCCGACTCACATGGGCATGGCCAATTTCGGCGAAAAGGACACCAACATCCGGAACCGCATTCACTTCGGGAGGATATTCGGGGAACCTCAGGCCTTCAGTCTCCTGGGGCAACAAGACTACATCTACATGGAGCATTCCAACACGACCGACGGCAAGCACAAGTTCGACGTTCATGTCTGGAAGAACGTGGCTCGCGGCGGTACAAAGCTTCTCGCAGATGGAAACAAGTACTGCAACATGCTTGGGCACACCGATGGCCGGATGGACTATGTATGGGTTCTATCGACGGGACGAATGACTCTGTATCCCAACGCGGGCAAGTCACAGATTTCTGGGGACGAGTCTTTCTGGGGACCGATGACGGAGGAGATCTGGTCTCCCCAGAAGTGGATCTTCAAAGACGCCGACCGTCGCGATCTTCACCTTGTTGACTGGGATGGAGATGGTGCTTGCGACGTTGTCTACACCGACCCGGATAAAAACAACTCTCCGCAGGTTTGGCTCAACACTTATCCTCTGACTGGACGCTGGGACTGGACCTACATAGCCAACCCTGCTCCCCAGGTTCAGTGCAACGAGAGAAAGGGACTTGGAATCCATGACTGTAGGTTTCCCGTTATAATTGGGACTTAGATATGGCAAAGGCTGACATTAGATAGTGGCTGTCCGATTCGCCAACATTGATGGCGGCAAGAGAGGCGACTATCTGTGTATCAAGCCGAATGGCTTTGTCTCAGGTTGGGTCCACAAAGACGACGGTACATGGGAAGATGTCGGGCAAGTCAAGTTCCAAGAGGGCAAAGACCGTGCCAACTTGAGATGGGCTGATGTCAACGGTGACGGCAAAGACGACATGCTCTGGGTCGATAAGTTCAACGGCGACGGCTACGTGTGGTACAACGGCGGCCGTGGAGATCGTGGGAACCTTGGAGGGTCTCTCTACTTTTGGAGAAAGATCTCCGACCCTGTCTACGACGGAAATCATGCTGGAACCTGCATGTACTATCCCGACTTGGATGGCAACGGTAGAGCAGACATGCACTCGATCATCGGGACTTTCAACAACCAGGCGGAGACTTGGTTTAATCCGTCCTGCGCCATGACTGATAGAACTGGAGACGATGGCGACATTGGGAATCCCAACTTGCCCGTGCAGCCCGGATCTAGTAACGGTGGTGGCGGTGATGGCGGCGACAGCAGCGGGGGAGAGGACTACGACCCCAATCCAGATGATGACAACACCCTTCCTGTATGCGACGAGACCTTTGACAACTTCGACAAGTTGGTCGAGGCCTCAGACGATATCCCGGATACTTGCGCGGCTCAGTATGTTCTTCAAGTTGGTCAGGCCACACTCCAGGCTGCTGTCAAACGCTACGACGAGATCATGAAGGGCGACTACGACAAATACTTCCAGATTTACGCCGATTATCTGGTACAAAACAGTGCCGATACACTCGAGAAGTTCATGAGAGATAACGGCGCCGACTATTTCGACTGCGACGTTAGGGAGCAATACACTTGCTGCGCTGGCTGTGACAAGATCGGGCTCTATGGCGATACCTGCAAACACTGCGTCGACGAATGCCCCATCAAGAGCCCATGGGGAGATGCCCAGAACGTTTGGTGGGACACCTTCGCCGAGACCTGTCCACCCAACGAGGACTTGGGCATCGGAACGGTCAAGGACAAGACCATCTTCTGGAAGCTCCGTGAAAAAGACAAGATCAACTTCTGGGGCGAGGTCACGGCCACGGTGGGAGCCCCGGAAGAGAAGCTCCCGATCGTCCCGCGACAACAGATTGTCCAGTGGTCTGAATCGACCGACATGTCTTGCGTCATCGCTCAGTCTCGGGACCCAGACAACTTGCCCGAGAATTGCTACAACACGAAGCATTGGTACGATGCTCCTATCGTCAAGGACTTCAAAGCCTCAGATGTCGTCAACCCAAAGGAGGTCGTCCAGAAGGCCTTAGGGGACTCTAGTGTCCTGATAGACGCCCTCGCGGCCACCTTGATGGAGATCAAGACGTACATGTACACCGACGACACCATAGATGTGTCTGATGCCGTCATCCTTCCGATTCTCATGATCCAACATTCTCTCAGCAGCATGGAGGATGTCGTTGAAATGGCCAAGGACATTGAGAAGATGGAAAAGACGAATTTCATTGTCAACCTTATTTCGTCTCTGCTATTCGTGCTTCCGGTTGCTGGCGAGATCCTCGGCACGATCGGCCTCGCTGGGTTTGGGCGCGCTCTCATCTATGTGAGCGAGGCTGGAAACGCCGCCATGGGCATATACAGTGTTGTGTCGGAGCCCAAGTCCGCTCCTCTTGCTTTGTTTGGGGCAATTATGAGCGTGAAGAGCATTCGCAACGCTAACAACATGCGGAACGCTGTAAAAGCACGGCGTGCAATGGGCAAGCAGGACATCGAGGGATTCAGCAAAGTTATCGCCTCAAAGTTGGAGGATTTAGATCGCATCGCAGCCAGGGGAGAGTTGAGGTTGTGTGGTAAATGAGCTTGAGGCTTTCTCGCGACCCAACCCGACCCCTAGACCTTTTCGCTACCACTGAGTCATGGATTAAAGACTCTACGAATGTACTCTCTCTTGTACGCTTTGTTATAATGAGCAACCATGGGATGTAGCCAGTCGAAATCTTCTCTGAATGGTCATCCGAACCACCTCAAATCTTTCCTTGAAATCCTCCCGAAGCTCCCACTCAAATTCCTCCTCAGACCCCTTGCAGACCCTACTTCAGACCTCTCCTCAGATCCCTCGTGAGATGACCACTCCAACAACAATTGAGGGCCTCGCGAGCCTCCTTTGGATCTTTATAGACACCGTACATGTGGAAAAATGGTTTCTTCTCCTTGTTGAAGTAATCGTTGAACTTCTTCTTGTCGTCGCCGTCGCAAATATCGAGAACAGCTTTGGCAGAGACTTTGAGTTCGAGGTACTCGTTGTTATGGAAGATGATTTCCATACATTCGCCTTTACCCCCATGATACCTGCTGATGTTGTACTCGCCAGCGTGGGTGGGATTGGGGAACAGTTTCGAGCACCATTCAATCATTTCAGGGGACACGTCATAGAGCGCTACCATGGCGTACAGCTTTGTTCCCGGGTTGCACCTCTTGGGCACGGAATCAAGCTCGATGATACATTCGGGGTCATCGTAAGGGCCCATGTCCTCAATGTCGCGTCGTGTGACAAAGTAGATCACGTTTCCTTCGGCATCGCCATCACGTTTAACGAGCTCGCAAAGCTCGACACAGTATAGGTCGTACATACGGTGATTGACGTTGACAGGCGTCTTCGCGTTCGGGGCCTTAGATTTGACGATGTCGCTGATGGCAGCCTGGATTTCAGCGACCTTGGCTTTCTCGTTCTCTAGGATCCCTGGAATAGCTCCTAGTGCCCTCGCCTTTTCCTGATCGCATTCCCACTTATATATGCGTTCCCTCCGCTTGACGGCATTGCGCTGTCTCTGAAAATCCAAAAAACTCTCGTTCAAATCGTCTTCGTCTTCGTCGTTGTAGCATCGTACAATCAACTTGGTTTGCTCGCATTCGCAATGTTCCGGGTCTTCGTTGCAGTCGCACTGCCATTCTGAGAGATCGTCCGCATCCTCATCCGTAAAAATGTGGTCAGGCGCATCATCTCCCATGTTCCCACCCGAACCAGGAAGTCGTGTTCACACGAACGTACCAAGCTGGAGGATCTTTCACGAACTTGGTGAGAGGACGTTTCTTGCGTCGTTTTTTGCCCCCCGGCGCCTTCTTCTGAGACTGGCTGCTCTGACGCTGATCGTCCTGGGACTGGTTCTGTTGCGGATTGCTACGTTGAGGCTTATCATTTTGAGCCTTGCTGTTCTCGGCTTGCTGCTTCTGGAGGCGCTTTTTCTGACGCTGACGTTGATTCTTTGCGCGGTTTTTGCCCACGGGTTGGTTGCTTTGAGGTTGGTTACCCTGAGATTGGTTGTCCTGAGATTGGTTGCCCTGAGGCTGGTTGTTCTGGGCCTCATTGCTCTGAGCTTGCTGCTTCCGGAGCTTCTTGTTGAGACGATAGCGCTGTTGACGTGAAAGTGATTTGCGCTCAGGTAGACTTTCAGTGATGCTGGTTATCCAGGTTCATGCTGGCGGGGAACGAATGTTGTTGAATGGTTTGAGCTGCGGATAGGGTTGGGGAAACCTTCAATGGTCCATGGATGATGCGCAAAACCCCCCTTATTCGTACTTAAGCCAAGTGTGGGGGTGACCAAGCTTGATTGGGCGACAAACAAATAGGTGGAACCTGGGGCTGTTGCGCGGCGACCACCGCTCAGACGGATTAACAGATATTTAAAAATTGTATTTCGACAAAGCTGCGGCTTATCATGAGAAGGTCACGGCCGGACGGAGCACCGGTGGACAACCCTGATCAAGGTAGATACTGCAGCGTGAATATTAGGTACCTTTTGGCAGAAATTACTGAACAACCTAACCAGACCGCCTAAAAAGATTTTTTTTGAACGTCAACTTTCTTTGCCGCCTGGAAGATGAGTACTTCATCGTTGAATCTTCGGGTTACTTCTGGTGGTTGGGGGCTTACCGTACTGACTGAATGGGATGTGGGAAGTATTAAAATTCCATCATGATGATGATTAATGCAGAAACCCACATAATAATTTTTCGTTCCCTGGCTATCATACATACCCCGCATCACAATGCTGAGTAGGCATCCATCGAACCATAAACGAATTCTTCATTGTGCAGCGTAGTGTCCACAAAATGGATGTGGCCAGGCTCAAAAGATATAAGGTGGAACGACAGTTTCTGGGTTCAATTACACAAGACCTCCTGGCGACCAGCGGAAAGCTAAGGTTATGTAGATTTGCAGGAAGGTACATTTTTTGTTTAATCTGCCACGTGGGGCTTGCAATACAATCAATCTCATCTATAATTACAGTGCTCAAGAATAACCAAAGATGCTACTGACAATCCACCTCACGCAGAATACTTGAAACTGCTCCATGGCCACCCGCATCTCACAGATCTACCATTCGCTGTACCTAGAGTCGTAGTACGCCCCCCATGGGATGGTTTCTCTCGAACCAAGTGTCCTTCGGCGAATCCGGCGACCGCGGCATTTTCGCCTCATGTTTGGTTTCCACAAGATCGCGCTCTTTTTCCAGCTCCATGACTCTCTCTGGAGTCCGCAAGGCGCCGTAGAAGGTGAGATAGGGCGTGTTGTTTTCGAAGTAGTCCACGAGCCTTTTTTTGTTGTCCGGATCCAGGTAGCCGCGATTCTTGAGAAAGTCCTTGGAGTGGATTTTGATTTCGAGGTAGTCCTGGTTGTGGAAGGTGATTTCCATGGGAGCATCTTTCAGTCCCCACCTGCCGACGCTGTATCTGCCAGCGTATCTGGGGTTGGGGAAAGGTTTTGAAGAACAATACTCGATCTTGTCTAGTTCTTCGAATGTCATGAAGGCACAGAGGTCCGTTTCCATATGCTCCGTGGGCTTGTCGTCTCGGAGTACGCCCGTTCTGGGATCCTCCACCTCGTTTTCCTCGTCCCTAATCTCCCAGTCGTCGTTGAACCAGATTCGGGGGGAAAGAATCTCACTGCGCTGCGTGAGTTGACACAGCTCAATGCAGTAGAGGTCATACGCGCGGTGATAGATGTTGATGGGTGTCTTGGTATCCGGTGCCTTGGAGTTCTCGATTTCCCTGATGGCCGCCTGGATTTGGGAAACCTTGGCCATCTCACGCTCCAAGACCTTCGGCGTCCGTTCCCGCGCTTCCGTCTCTTCTTTTTCCTCCTCAAATCTCTCAATACGCAGCTCCCGCTTGCGTTTATTGCGAGTCTCCACAAGCTCGGATAATTCTTCGTTATCTTCAAAATTGCCACGTAGTTTTACTTGTGGCTGCCTACATCTGCAGTCTGGGGGATCCTTGGTGCAGTCGCACTCCCAGTCCGAGAGATCTTCATCGAAGAACCACTCGGTAAGGGGGTCGTGTTCTTGAAATGTTCCCAATCGCTCGTGTTCCCAGCGAAACGCGCGCACATACCATGGCGGATATTGTCGCAGAAACTTGGTGCGAGGACGGTTTTTGCGCCGTTGGTTGGCCTTGGGCGCCTTGTTCTGAGGCTGAGTCTTCTGAGGCTGAGCTTTCTGGGGCTGAGTGTTCTGATGCGGGGTGTTCTGAGTCTGTGTCTTCTGCGCCTTGCTCTTCTGCGGCCGGCTGTTTTGCGGCTGGCTGTTCTGAGGTTGGCTATTCTGGTCCGCGTTGCTTTGAGCCTGCTGCACCTGCTGCATCCGCAGCTTCTTATTACGACGATAGCGCTGATTACGTTCCCGGTTCTTTCCCGGAGGCTGGGTGCTCTGAGGAGGTTGGTTGCCCTGAGGTTGGTTGCCCTGAGGTTGGTTGCCCTGAGACTGGTTATCCAAGGGCCGGCTGCCCTCAGACTAAGTTTCCTGAGCCATTTTGTCGTGGGATGAGCTATGCGGTGTGATACTGCCTGAGTTTGAGTTCCGTGAAGGGTTGAGAACGTGGAAGTTAAGGAATGGAAGGGAGCAGATTACCTACTGAACGCGACTGGAAGCGCAGACGCGACGTTACGTCAGGTCACCCGCCTAGCGCGAATGGGCAGCAAACATTGTATGAGTAATAGAACACGGGCTTTCCGCGAACACCGCGCGGGGATGATCAATCAGGGGCCGAGCAGCTGTGGAGAACGCTGCGTCTAAGCCACCACCATTATCACTTTTTGCCAATCAGAATTATTTGTTCCCATCACCAACACACTCTAATTGGGTTGATACTGGAATGAAATGTTGACTTCAGTTCTCAACATGAGAATAAGCCTGCAGAGAATGTACAAGGCGATGCGGATGATAACAGTTCCAACCCTATTCACACAAAGACCTTCGAGATTTTGAAGCCTCCAGGAACCCTTGTTTGGAAAACGCCTGACGGGTCATACTTCGCAGCGACTTCCTTCAGAAACCTGACATTCTCCTCTCCATACGTTTTAATGGGATCTTGGGCGGGATTGACATAGTTCAGGTAACGCCATGAGGTCGACTTGCCGATGGCTTCGGCAAAAGCCTCGAGCTCGGCAGTCACAGCCGCCAGCTTCGACTGGGCCAATGACTCCTGCTCAGCGGTGCGTGTGTTGACTTGGCCAAGCCAAATAATCGAATCGTGTGTCAATGAGGTGTCGAGGCCCAGGACGTTGTTGCCATTTCCCGTGGTCGCGAAATACTTCGGCAGGGGCTGGCTCACGAAGGCAACGCCAAGGTCTAGAGACGGAATCACGGCCTTGAGGTCAACGAGAAGTTGGTCATAGAGCTCTGCCATCTTGTTCATGACCTCGATGTCATTCTGGAAACAGATCGAGAACCAGGCACTCCTGTTTCGGAATGTCAGCACACATGTGAGCCATATTGAGGTTGGGATTCGTACCGTGGGCCACCAACCGCAATGTGATCGGTGATGGCAGTACCGTAAGTCTTCCGCTTCCGGTCGTCAAGGATGGTTGGTAGAGTAGACAGAGGCGCAAAGGAGGTCGAGTTAGAAACGCCGGCGGTGTTGATGGCAACAATAGCAATCATTGCGGGGCCCTCTCCTGAGTAGGTGAAGGTGACAACCTCAGTGTCTTCTGGATGTTGCTCGTTGATGTCAATTAGCCTGACGAATTGCTTCATGACAGTATCGCGATGGGCATAGTCCATGAAAATGAGGCCGCCGTAAAGGCCTCCTGGGGCTGAAGCAAACGTCTGCATGTCGAAGCGAGTGACAATGCCGAAGTTGTTGCTGCCACCTTTCAGGGCCTTATACAAGTCTGGATTCTCGCCCGCGTTGGCGTTGACGATCGTGCCATCTGCGAGGACCACTTCGTAGTTCCTCACGTCGTCACATGCAAAACCGCGGTACCCGGTGTGGTAAGATGCACCACCTCCGAGGGTCAGGCCAGAAACGCCGACATTGCCACCACGGCCGCCTGTGACTGTCAAGTCGCCATGCCTCTCGACTTCCTCGTAGACGCCAGCCCACCTGGCACCGGGTCCAACGGATAAAGTTCCCTTCTCAGAGGTTGAGTTCTTGCCGCAAGAAAGCAGCGAATTGGAAGAGTCCGAGCTTACACTGCAATTCTTGTAGACCGTTGAGTTCATGCGACTGAGGTCAATGGTCACACCTTGGGCCACATTGTTCGAGGGGAAGTGGGAGTGGCCTCCGCCGCGAACCGCGATGTCCCAGTTGCCCGCAGGGCTCGTCTTGACGAGTGCTGAAAATGCCTTGGAGACCTCCTCAGCACTCTCTGGCTTCACAATGCACCATGGGCGAAGAGAAGCAGCTGATCCAGACCAATAGGACGTGACGCTGGAGTTGTACTCCTGGTCCGACGGGAAAAAGACTTGGTCGGAGAGTCCGGCGGCAATCACAGCATCGCACTGGGAATGAAGCAATGTCAATCGGCTGTTGCAAAATCCCGGCTATGGCCGCCGAATGGCTCGACGCCCTCTGCGCTCCTGAAAGGAACAGATCGGGGGGTTCTTACACTTGGATACCCGCTCGCGGGCGGGGCTTGCCGGGCGTGTGACTGGAAGCCAACTTCGATGTGGCTGACCGCAAAGACGGCAAGAAACAAGTACCCGGAAACAAGAGAAGAGAGGCCCATGATTGAAAACAGGCAGGAGCTTAGAAGAAGTCCTTCTGGGCAAGATGGCAGCGTGCGTTGGCAGTGACGTCTACCACATCTTTCGGGGTATCACGGGTTTTTAACAAGGCGTGGAAAGTGGTAGACTCGATTTCTCCGAGACAGTTTGGACCAATCTTTGCAATACGAAAACAAAAGCGAAACCGAGGTGCATCGAGGCGAGAAAGCGCTGGGTCGGCAGCAAAATTGGATCTCTAGCCCCTGGGGTTCTCGTACAACAATTTGCCGCCTTCTCGATTGGGTTTATGCATCTTCCGGTCATCTGGGTGTCTTCGTGTACTGTACCATGAAAACTTGTTAGAGTCGCAATCCGCTGAACTCCTGTTGACAGGGTATGGGTTGGCCAAGCAGTTTTTTCAGTGAGAACTGGACCAACGGATATTTAGCATACAAGTGTGAGCGGATTCCGATCCTAACAGTCTTTTCCCGGTGTGTTCCGATCGTCTTCGTTGGGCCATTCCTACCCGGCAATGCAGTAGATACGACATGAGCCCAGTTCGTGGGACGGCAATTTTACCGTTGGCGGTGCGCCAATGTGGCGAGAAATAGGCTGTGCCGCCCTCCTGCACCTTGTATCACCGGAAGCCGGATGGTGAGCCCGGTGCCTTGCACCTTGCACCAACAGCTTGTTGGTTTTCACCAGGATGGATGCGAGTTGTACTTGGCGTGCAGAAGCGAGTGACCAACAATGGTGCACACCAACATACCTGTGTGGCGTTGAATCAAATAAAAGGTTAAGCAGGAATGCAGAAAAACGTCGCAACGGAAAATAAGAAGAATTTCACACTAAGATGTTTCGTTCTGGATTTGGCACGAATTCACACGACTGACTTCGAAACGTTGGCTAAGATGTTGAACTTGTGAACCCAACGCAGTGCGTGTGGAGCTTCAAGGATCCCCAGCATACCTTACTGGCGAGACCTTCGCTTGCGTTGGTAATTACAAACGTACCGATACAATTGGAGGAATACTCCACTCATGCGGCCGTGGACCAGGCTACACTTACAACCAACAGACATAGAGAATCGACGTGGTGGCAGCAGCGGCATCTGGATCTCAACCTCGAGGAATGCTTGATAAATCGATTGAAACGGAAATACCACCGACGTACTTTCATCATGTTAATTGAACCGGGCCACTGACCCTTGATCGGTGTGATAAGTCAACATGGCCTTGCTAACACCATGGAACCGGCAGTGTTTGCCTCCCTAAGATCCAGCCTTGCCACCCGAAATTGCCCCGCGGGAGAGCTTGTAAAAACTCTTGTCTCTTCTGGCTGTTGTTGGAGACGTGAAAAGAATCCCTGGGCAAATTTTGGGCAAGTCCTAGCCTCTTACGAAAGTAGACGTTGACCCAAGTCCGCTTCAAAAGTTCTGGTCTTTTGCCCTCCCAGCTCCCCTCTCTTACCTGCTGAAATACTTCGCGATCTGTTCTTTCAATGGACGAGTCATCTTCTATTTGCTTTGCGAGCTAACCTCTTTGTGTGCGGCATGATGATTCATACACCACGAGCAGACGCTCCCTCGACAATGCCGGTGCCAGATAACCCCGGTGATCCAGCATTGCTAGTCAATGGATCTATATGGTCAATGGCGGCTGTCTCCACAACATTCCTTGCGCTGAGGATATACTGTAAAGCCTTCCGAGTGAGGTGGGTGGTATGGCTGGACGACTGGCTGTTAATAGCAGGTTGGGTCTTTCTCATCGCGTCGCAGTCCTTCTTGAGCGAGCTGATGCGCCTGGGGTTTGCTCGGACCTACAATGTCACCTCAACCATGAAGACTCTGATTTACGTTTACGACAACTGCCACAAAGTCTCCCTAGGTTTGACGAAGACCTCCTTTGCTGTCACTCTGCTTCGAATATCGTCAACCCGGCAGAAGTACTTCATTTGGTTTCTCGTCATCACCATGAACATTCAGTTCATTATCCACATCATCCTCACATGGCGCCCAATCTGCCCTATTGTACCTGGGGATCCGACACCCCACCTGCCCGTGTCGTGCTGGGAATCTCCGAATGCGACTGCGCTTGGTGTTGTTGGTGGATGTACGTGCTTCGTATCTGGTCAAATCGTTCGGTTCTGAGCCAAGCTTACGACTCGACAGTTTACTCGGCTGCGGCTGATGTTTTGTTGGCCTTGCTACCGTGGAAGATCGTCATGGGCTTACAGATGAAAAAGCATGAGAAGATCGGCGTCGCAATCGCCATGAGCATGGGTGTCTTGTACGTCATCTCTGGCTGGCTATGAGGTCCTTGAAATTGACTTAAACAGGGCTGGTGTCATGGGAGTCATGAAGGCTGTGCAAAGCATCATTGTTCTGGACCCAACTACACCGAATCGTAAGTCCACCTGCAATTGTTGGCCCCAAAATGATTTAGGGAAGAATGATCCAATAATAGGGCTGACTCTCTGTGTTTCTCAAAGTGTTCTGGAAACTCTGCATCTTCCACGTCTGGGTCGAAGCAGAGCCAAATGTTACCATCATCGCGGCCTCCATTCCGGTTCTCCGAGTTCTGTTTCGAAACATTCGAAGCCAACAAGAGATAGGATACCCATCCTCTGGCGCGTACATACGATCAGATAATCTGAGCAAGTTCCAGAACCAGGGCATGTCAGTGGGTCGATCAGGAAATGTGGAAGATCACGACAATAGAGGCGATGGCGACAGCGACCGAAGTATGCTTCCACAGGGTATAGTGAGGACCACGGAGGTCATGATCGATTACGACAAACGTAGTGGGATATCAGACAACATTGTACAAGGCGGGGAAGAAATCGAGCTTAGAAGTCGAAGGGACACTTCTGCATGACTGACAGCAGCCTTCACAATTCTGCGTTATGCGTTCAAATGTCATAGCCTTCAAAGAGATCATGGCAGTCGTAATAATCAATGATAATTCTAACGCCTCTGCCAAGATCCAGGACCAATAGTTTATCACTAGTATGGATTTCCTTCACTTCCAGAGTACTAATCGTCAGAAATTACTTCTCATCTCGCAGTTCATGCTAATGGAAATAGAGGTGCCGTATTGCTTTGCCGTAATCAAAATGCCACTTTGAAATACGATCGATTCTGGGGAGCCAAGAATGGCACATTGAAGCTGTAGAGTTGGTTTATGCATCGCGTACCGGGAGGTCTGGTGCCAGTGGGATATCCGAATCCGGCTCCGGAGCAATAGCATCCAGCTTCTCCATCCAATAATCCAAATTCGAAGATCGTGAATAATCCTTTTCTTCGAACCCATCCTCGAATGAGTGCCATGTAAAGGCAAGTTCTTGGGCCGCTCTCATATCGTCTTCGTCCAGCTTCCTCGAATTCAGCTCTTTCATCACCGCGCTCACTTTTGGACCCCGGTAACCATCAACGAATGTTTCTAAGTCAGGACCTCCCTTGTAATCTTGCCTGAGGTCCTCAAGGAGCTCCTCAAGACGAACGAATTCTTCTTTTTGTTCTTCCATAACGTCCTCTACTTCTTCGCTATCCCAGTCTTGAATTCCTTCGTCCTGTGCCAACCGGCAACAGCTATGACGAAGACCCAAAGCAGTGAAAGTTAAGTACCTTAATATCGTTTCGATCACAGGCATGGGCTTTGAGGAAGTCATCCAAAGCTGAGACTCCACAGCTATGGCCCAAAAGTCACAAAACCACTGAAAGTGATCTTTGTAGTACGACAACGTAGGCAATGGTAACCGCGACCCGTACCACTGTCTCTCCCAAACTGTTGTCCCATCTAGTAGCATCAGCAGCGGGCTAGATCCGTCCAATGAACAAGCGCATCGACAGTTGTCAAACATGCTAGTGGATGTTGCTGCATGAGCGATTTCGCCCCGTAGGTGAAGGCCAATTTCTTGACGGTCTTCTCTCCATACATTAAACCGTGCCAGAAAAGCAGACAACAAATGTGATGCTGTCCAAGAAGCGAAATTGGATCTTCCATACACGGGGCAGCGCGAAGGCTTTCCAAGATCAAAGCCTTTGTCAAGCAACCAGTAGACATGAGAAATAACCTTTGACCGTCCTTCAAGGTTGTTGACCCTACTGCGAAGAAGAGAGTCCCAAAGTTCGTAAACCCCCAAGGCTGAGTCAACACCGAGATGTCTGAATCCAAGCTCCCACACGTACGAAGCGGTGGCACTATCTGAGATGTAAGAATGTATACCTCTGAAATGCCGATTTGGCCGAGAATCGGTCTCGGAGTCATGAACCCTCAAGGAGATGGGAAACGAGACAGAGCGCTCTTCTAATGCTCTCTGGACGTCTCCGGCGGTCTCATCGAGCACATTTCCTCCATGAAGACCAAGCTCTGCGGCTTGGGCCGGCGGAAGGTGTATTTTGGCGTAATCACGCAGCCTCTGACGTCTCTGTTTTAAATAGAATATGAATTTTCTCACGGCACAGTCTGCTGTATCCACGCGTTCTCTGGTGCACTCAAAGAAGGTGCTGAGAAAGATTGCTGGGTACAACGCACAATCAGACTGAAGCAATGCGTCCAAAATATTGCAGCCATTGCATTCAATATCGTCTGTGTCGTGGTACCCACTATGCAGATGTGACATGACAGCGTACTCAATCGGATAGTGGCCTTGAAACCTTGCGTAATCCTGTGTGTTGAGAGATAAGACATCTGCATACCGTAAGATCATTTGGAGAACCTTCAAGTTTCCAACACCGATCGCGATATGGACGGAGTTCTGACCGAAACAATTTATGTCGTAAACGCTGGATGGATTTTCTTTGAGTATCTGTGAGACACTCATCTCGTCTTGTCTCAGAATACGGATTTGCTGATCTAGAAAATTGAGCACTTTTTCTCTTAGCAAATGAACTTAACGCCCCGTGAACACGTTGCCCACCTTCTGCCGTAGCGATGGGGATATTCCTCAGTATCTCAAAGTGACGTCGTGATGCATCAGCATTATCTATCCGCGGCTGAAACGGACAGTAAGTATCTCTGTCGTGACCGAGCTTGCGCATCACTTGGTGGGATAGGCCGGTCTCCCTGGGCCAATCACCCATAATGACCAGGGCCACTCGGTGGCTGAGATCGAATCAGTAAACGTAATCATTCTCTTTGAGAGTTGTAGAAACACAAGGAAGATTGGCTTACCTGCCTGTATTGTAGTTTGGGCCCGGTGGAACTTGAAGCAACTATAGAGAATGAGCTAGCCAGGAAGCTTGTTTTCCAACTTCGACATTCTCGTCTTTAAGTTGCAGGTGCTATTCTTACGTTCGTCAGTCACGACACAGTTGAAATAAGCCTGTGGTTTATCTCACCCCTGCCCCTAGCCGTTGAAAAATGAATAGAGTAACGTCTCTCCTTTCTCATCTACGTCCGTCGGGGATCCTTGTCCTCTGACGTAGCACCAAACGAGACGTCTCCACGTAGCTCCCAAAAGTCGCCATCTGTGTTCAATTGGCAGATAAGTGAAGACTTCCCACCATGTCAATAGAGATTCCGCAAATTGAAGTAATCGAAAAGTTGTCGAATCTTCAGAGCTAAGCGTATTGATTACGCTGAGCCCACGCCCAAGGCGTATTCCTCCGGTTCCGCCGGTGAGAGACCAGAAAACAATGATGGCTTTTCCCGTTAAAGATTGCAAAACAGGGATCGTAATCTCGACGCCATGGGATCTCTGATATTGGTTTCTAATGAAATTTCCCGTGGGGCATTTGCTTGAATGCTGAACATTTGTTCGCCATTTCGTCTGCAGCGTGTCTGGGCCCCATTGTAGTCGCCGATGCTTTTGAGCGTGGTATTTGATGCAATTGTGGGAATAGGACAGAATCACCCCCGGCTGTACACGTCACGCACCATCACATCATGCGCCCCACGAATGCAACTATCTTCATTGGTTGCCTTGAGATGTATTTATCGTTGCATGGCGAACCATGCATGACAATGAAGGCATCCGACTCTTGGCAAGGATGATTTCTCCTCAACCTGCAACTATCGGCCCATGATTAGATTTACATCAGCGCCCTTCTAGAATCCACTTCAGAAAAAGTCAAGACACGGATCAAAGAATGCTAAAACTCTACGTATCGAAGTAAATATACACGGTATTGTGACTCCTGTAGGTGTCTTTCTACGATATGGATTTGTTGCGCTGAATTGACATCGCTCGTTATGCTGATCGGCGCTCGGCCCGGGGGCCGGCAGGGCCCCACACAGCCAGGACATGCGAATTGCACAGCCGGCCCAAGCCCTCTGTTGATCATTTTCGACAGTGAGAATAGTGAGGATGAGTATTGGCAGAGAAGACTGACAGTAAGGATTTGGAGTAAGGTGAGCTGCATGACAGTGGACTTCAACTGCATCCAGGTTTCCAGTGATGGCAAGTAGATTAACAGAGTCGACCACATGGAACTAGCTTGCAGCTTTGATCCTCAATATCGCGTTTGTGTTTCGATGTATGAAAGGCTTGTCGCAAATGAAAACATTTTACACATTGCACTCCATCAATGGAGTCCACGTCTGATACACGGCCCCGACACAGCGATGCGTACTTAAGAGACCCGGTACAGCCAACAATGACCCAAGTAAACACCAATCACCTCGCTTGTTTTCGTTCATGTCCTTGGCTCCTTTCACAATTAACAGTCGACTGCTAGAAAACGTTCAATTTGTTATACATAATTGTACAGGATTTAGTGCTTGTTCTCTTGTTATAATTTCGCACGGAACTGAAAGTCGTCAAGGTTCGCTTCTGCTCGATTTCGTTGAGTATGTCTTGCATCAGCCGCATAACTGTTTTACACGAAGTACATATCTTCGAGAAGCTTTCGTATCTGGCTTTTTACATCTCATCACCCAGGCCATGTTCGCGCTGCGTGTCGGGAGTTCGCCGATTCCAAGTCTGACAGAATGAAACCGCACTTTGCAACCTCCTAGAACTTTCGTATCCGCCCTCACTTTAATCCGAAAGCCAAACAATCATCCTCCGCAGACATACCGCGCGTACAAGTGATTGAATGCTGACGAGTGTTTTTCGTCGCGCAAGCTAAGGCGCCCCGTGCAGGAGAAGCCTACGTTTTTCGTCGCATCTGGCGAATCAGCTGTTACGGCAAGTGAGGGGTTAACGTGACACAGGCGTCGCTTGGCGGCAGTCCTCTTTTTTCCTGCTCCTTCTCCTCCTCTCTAAGGTTGACAGGATTTGAGGACTGCCTAGTGCGTTTAGGCAGCATTGTGAGTGCTATATGTGGTCAGAATGGGCTTGTCGGCGCGGGGTTGAACTTTGCTGCTTGGCTTTTCGGGGGCTAGAAGGCACGCAAGGTGAAGATGGCTGCGTTTGCTGGACGGTGAGATAGTTAGTGGACTTGGAATCTGTCAATATGACGGTTAATGTGAGCTGCATTCGTATTGTCTGCTTATGAGCATCTGGTATTTGAGTTGCCAATTTGCCGTGTCCTTTACTTTCATCCGAGCCAGCTTTAATGCCGTCGTTTCCGCCGTGGAGCTTCAAATCACCATCTCTCCCCCCCCCCTGGCCCCTTATGGCAAATTCCCTAATGGCATTTCGGCGTCGTGTTCGATTTTAATAGTACCTTATGTAGACAATAGTGGTGAGTGTGTTTAGCATGCAGACGCCTAGGCCGCGAGCATTTGGGTAGTTCCATCTTCGTAAACCTTGACGCGAGGTTTCTGTAGAGGACAGGTCAATATTGGGAACTCGCAAAGTATCACCAGGGGGGGTGAGCCTACAGTATCAATGTCGTGATAGCCCTGGAAGCGACACGAGCTGTGTTCGCAATTTTTGAGCCATCGACAATGGTGTCCAAGCATGCAGTCGGCATTATCACAGCCTGACATGTCGTTGCACGGTATTCCCCGAGACTACGGGTCATTAGCGGAGACCATTCATACTGTATATCGTGACAGGGGATCATCAAGACTCACCTTCTGCTTTAGCAGTGTCAATTCTCCATGACTCAACTTTTCACCGTGGAGAAATGGGCACGCATCGCCATTCTTGCAGAATCCATGAAGATGAAAATTGTTGCAGAGATTTTTGCCAGACTTTGTCATGCGTTCCTTGAAGCGCTTCTCGACGTTCGGGTCGATACGCGGAAATTGCTCGTCAACGCGCTGACTCTCAACGTTGAGAAGATAGTACTTTTTAGGCGCAGGTTTCTTGGAAGAAATATCAATCGTCTTGCCGGTCGAGACCTTAGTGACGACAGACCAGGAGGTAGGTGTCTGCGCACCACCGCTCGATGACTGCGGGCTCGCAACACGCTGGGGCTGGCTCTCGTTCGTGTTGCTTCTCAAAAGGGCGCCGCCATTTCCATTGTTCGTGGGGACGTGCACCGGGGGCGGCAGCGGTTGCATGCCGGCAGTGGGAGGCGACGCAACGGCAGAAACGCTTGACACACTGGATACACTGGGGCGCTCGACGCGATCGGGGAGTTTTTCGGATCGGAAGACCGACTTGAACGAAATTCGATGAAAATTGAGATGTTTAAAGCCCTCCTCGGCAGGAGTGGTCTCGATAAGCGTCAGACGCGGGTAAACCTTAGGGTCTAGCTTATATGGCTCGAGAACGGGAAGATATCCGTTATCGTGGCAGGGACCGAAGAAAATGTGCTTGCACTGATTGATGCGAACCATCAGGCGCAAAGTTTCGCGAATTTTGTGATCGGCGGACTCCTTGCCAGAGCCGACGTCAATGAAGCTGAACAAGGGCTGAGCACGGCCAAAGCCACGTCCAAAGTCGGACAAAGTGCGCTCAGCAGCAGTATTGGAAATAATGCCACAAGCGTGGAGCTTCTTGGCCAGACCGTCGAGATTTAGCACGATCTGAACCATGACGCTCCAGTCCTGACTGGCTGCCTGGGGATAGGCCTCGCTAACGTAGTTCATAATTTCGTTGTGGAGGAGGTACCCGGCTTGAGAGCCTCCATCGGCACCAGCCTTGAGGAGCATGTCTTGAAAAACTGCGCCGTCTCCATCAATAATAACAAAAACGAAAGGATTAGATTCCTGCGGTAGGTCAGTAATCGTTTGCGTGGCAGGAGGTGACCGAAGCCCACCGTCGTCTTGAGACTCTTGCTTAGTGCCTGCATTTCTCTATCGTAGGTTCCTGCCTTGGTCTGCCACATTCGGCGGGACTCGACTTCATTACTGTAGTCGTCGCATTTTTCCTGATATGCACGTTGAAGGTGTTCATATCGCGTAAGAATTTCCTGTGATTCCGAGAGTCAGATATCGGATCATGTGATTTGGAGGCAGCAGCCGCCACCACCGTTGCTGTTTTGACGGCAGTCGAAGTTGCCAGTGTGACAAGAAAGCATCATCTGCTTCAATATCAGAGAGTCCTCGGGTCACTCACTCCTATCATTTGATCGCGGGCATGATCCTGATGCCGAAAAAGTTCGAGTTGTCGCACATATTGGGTGAGGTCGTTAGCACCGTCCATGATGGCGGCGTCGTCTCGTATAATGCTAGTCCGGGTCGACAAAACACTATCTCGATTGTCGATCGACGGTGTGGGCGATTGATGCTGAGATATCTCGATTTCTGACGGCGATTGAGAAAAAAAAAGGTGAGATGGAGAGATGAGGTTGCGAAGGTTTTGAAGTTCGGACGGCAAGACCCCATTACTTAAGCTCAGAGTGGGGTCGTATTCTGGGTTCTTCCTGCCTTTCAGGCCATTCAGAGCGTCGCTTTGCATTGTTCCGGGGGTAGCAAGCCCCCGGCGCGGCGCCTTCCCGGTAAAGGCGCCCATGGACCAGCGGATTTTTAGCTGCCCCTGCCTGTTGTGTTTGTGCTTGCTGGGCGAAAGTCCTTAGCGGGCCAATCAAATTGCCGGGTTTCCTTCGGTTTGCGCCAAAAGCGGGGGCCTGCAGGGACCGCCATCGCTCACCCCAACGTGGCACGCATTCTTTTGATAAACTGTGCCGCTTTGTCTGACTGGCCCATATTAGACATCCGAACGATCCTATCAATGGGACTTTAAATGGCGCTGATTTCGTAGATATAGCATTCATGTTCTGTTTTGCTTGATAATATGTCCGTT